ACGCACAATGGCAGCGACGACGACGCGCAGCGGTGACGACGTGAAGCGGCTCTGATGGACGAACGAGACTGAGGGGGGGTTTGGAAAAAAAAGGGTTGAAATGAGAGTTCTTCACGAAGAGAGGGCTCTTATGCTTCTTAATACTACATCAGTTACTGGGTGAATCAATGTAGATCTATTTATAATTATTCACAAAATTACCACCGCGTATTCAATACTACATTGGTCCCATTAAAAACGATGTAGAACACTCAATATTTACATCGGTCCCAGTCATAACCGATGTAAATATGCTTTATATTATTGTTCCGGCCAAGGGATGGACTAGGGTTTCTGCCTAGGTCAAGCCTCAAAGCCAGAGCATTCAAAAGTGTAATCTGTCGTCCTAGCCCTAGGGTTTTGGGTTTTATACTTTTGTGTTATGGGCTTCGTGGGCCCCGCGATTATCGGGATCCCCCTTAACCGTTCTTATCTCGAAGCCCTGGGGGTGAGTGGTGGTTAGTCAAGTCGGGATTTTACCGACAAGGCCGCTACAAGGAGACCTGTCGGGAAAACGGTGAATGCCCTCGTGGGTGCATGTAATTGGGTTAGAGCCGAGTTGCTGCACGCTGTGACGGTCCAGACGGGTATTAGGCGAGTGGGGGGTCTAATCGGAATTTTACCGGGAAGGTACACTTGCCTTCCAGCCCTGAGCCGATAAGGCGAGAGGGCTTGTGGCCTGGAAGACCAGTCGGATATTAGACGAGTGGGGGGTCTAGTCAGAATTTTACCGGGAAGGTACACTTGCCTTCCAGCCCTGAGCCGATAAGGCGAGAGGGCTTGTGGACCGGAAGACATTGATCTTCGGACGATATCGGCGGATAGCCGAGGTCATCATCGGGTAAAATCTGTAAGGGTACATGCGTCATCCCTTGGGGTCGTGGTTTCTCGAATCCTGGTAAGACATGTCTCTTCCCCTTCCCCAGGGAGGGACACGCATTTAATGGAAAGCCGGCGTTGCAGGGGTATCAATAATGTTCGAACCACGTGGCCCTCCCCTATTTTCCCAAGTTAATGAGGTGGGGCCCCTTTGGGTAAGGGTCACAACGCTCCACGCGCGCTGTGGCTTTTGGGCTTTTCCCTTCACGCGCGGCTCTTCACCTCTATAAATAGAGGTGCCTCCCACTTCTCTCGAGTTATTTTGCCTTTCCCCCTTTTCGCGTTTATTCTTCTCCAGCGGTCCTCCTTCTTTCCCATTCTGAGCTACGACGGTCAAAGGTGGTTTCCCGGTTATAGCCGTGGAGTTGGCCAATTGGGAGGTTCACAAGATACTGATCGACTAAGGGAGCTCGGCCGAAGTCCTGTATTGGCCAACGTTCCTCAGGTTAGACATCCCCAACTCTCTCATACAGCCTCACATAGAGCCCCCAGCCGGTTTTACAGGAATGAGAGTTCACACTCGGGGGTATGTGGACCTACTAACAACTTTCGGAGCACCTCCGGACACAAGGCGGGTCATGGTTCGATACCTCCTCGTGGAAGCCAACACTTCCTACAACATAATCATCGGGAGACCGACCTTGAACCAACTAGGAGCAGTAGTGTCCACCCCACACCTCACCATGAAATTCCCAGGGAATGATGGGAAGATTATCTCTGTCAAGGCGAACCAGAAGACGGCACGACAATGCTACACCGAAAGCCTAAAGATCGCCTCACCCGGTGAACAATGCAAAAGTGGCCCTCCCACCACAGCTCACATCAACCACGAAGCAATCACTGATCTCGATCCGAGATCCGACTCTCGTGACGAACGACCAAGCCCCGTCGACGAGCTCGATGACCTCCAGATCGGAAAATTTCCCGGGCAGTGCACAAAGATCAGCAGATAGTTAAGCCCGAAGTTGCAACAGCAGCTCAAAGTAGAAATCCTCAAAAATGCTGACCTCTTCGCTTGGTCTAGCACTGACATGCCAGGTATAGACGCTGACTTCATCTGTCACCGATTAGCGATACACAAGGAAGCAAAGCCAGTGGCCCAGAGAAAGAGAAAGGTCGGTGGTGAGAGGCGAGAGGCCATCATCACCGAGTCACAAAAGTTGCTGAGCGCCAGCTTCATCCGTGAAGTCAGGTACACCACATGGCTGGCGAATGTGGTTCTTGTGAAGAAGAGTTCGGGAAAGTGGCGCATGTGCGTCGATTACACCGACTTGAACAAAGCATGCCCCAAGGACTCATACCCCTTGCCAAGCATTGACAGGCTGTTCGACGGAGCATCCAAGCACGCCCTCCTCAGCTTCCTCGACGCCTACTCCGGGTACAATCAGATAATGATGTACCCACCCGACGAGGTGCACACGTCTTTCATCATCGACCACGCCAACTACTGCTACCGGGTGATGCCCTTCGGCCTCAAAAACGTGGGGCCAACTTACCAAAGACTGATGGATAAGGTTTTTCACCAGTAGATCGGGCGGAACATGGAAGTCTACGTCGATGACATGGTGGTCAAAACCACCTTGGCAATAGACCATGCTATCGATCTCGCCGAGGTGTTCGCCCAGATCAGAAAGCACGACATGCGTCTCAACCCGGAGAAGTGCATTTTCGGCGTTCAGGGGGGCAAGTTCCTCAGTTTCATGATCACTAGCAGAGGAATCGAGGCCAACCCCGAGAAATGCAAATCCATCATCCAGATGCAGAGTCCGCAAATGGTGAAAGAGGTCCAACGCCTAGCAGGAAGGTTAGTCTCACTGTCCCGATTCATCCCCAAACTCACGAAGAAAGCAAGGCCAATCTTCACCCTGCTAAAGAAGCCAAAAGACTTCCAGTGGACAGGTCAGTGCGAAGAAGCTTTCCAGAGCTTCAAAACCTTTCTCTCGACCCCACCGATCCTACAGAGGCCGAACCACAACATCGACCTCCTCCTCTACTTGGCCATAGCAGAAAATGCCATCAGTGCTGTAATAGTGCAAGAAAACCAGAAGACGCAGATGTCGATCTACTTCATCAGCCGAGTCCTCCAGGACGCGGAGAAGCGATACCAGATGGTTGAGAAGTTGGCGCTAGCACTCGTCACCGCGGCCCGACGGCTTCCACCACATTTTCAAAGCCACCAGGTGGTAGTCAAAACCGACTACCCCATAAAGAAAATCCTGAGAAAACCAGAACTCGCCGGACGAATGATCGCATGGTCAGTAGAATTATCCGAGTTCGGCATCCGGTACGAAAGTCGTGGAACCCTGAAAGCGCAGTGCCTGGCCAACTTCGTAGCCGAGCTCACACCTGCTACTGCCGAGGAACCCCAGGCATGGACTTTACACGTTGACGGGTCCTCCAATTCCAAAGGTGGTGGTGCAGATATCATTCTGGAGGGGCCAAATCAAGTTACCTTGGAACAATCACTCAAGTTCAGCTTCAAAGTGACCAAAAACTAGGCAGAGTATGAGGCACTCCTCGCAGGACTGAGGCTAGCCAGCGACCTCAGAGCCCGAAGAGTGAGCTGCAACAGCGACTCGAAACTCATGGTCGAGCAGCTCAATGGGACGTACCAGGCAAAGGACACCCTTTTACAATGGTATTTCCACATCGCATCCCAGCAGATCTCGTCCTTCGACGAGTTCGCCATACAGCATGTGTCGTGCGAACAAAATGCCCGAGCCGACCTCCTATCGAAGCTCGCCAGTACCAAAAAGCCTGGACAGCACCGAACTATCATCCAGGAGGCCCTACACTCGCCTAGCTTCGATGACAAGGTTGTCAATGTCAGCGACAGTGGAGACCTGGGCTGGATGGCGGGCATCTGGAATTACTTGAAAGAGGGTACCTTGCCCAAAGACAAAGACGAAGCTCGGAAGATGAGAATGAGGTCGGCCAAGTTTGTCATTGTCGGAGACGAACTGTTCAAACGTGGTATTTCCACCCCGCTGCTCAAGTGTTTGACCGCACCCCAAGCAGCCTACGTCATCGACGAAATTCATCGGGGCATGTGTGGCTTGCATTCCGGAGCTCGCTCGATGGCCACCAGAGTACTCCGGGCTGGATACTACTGGCCCACTCTGAAGTCAGATTGCCAAGACTACATACAAAAATGCAAAGAATGCCAGCAGTTCAGAAACACACACCGGAAACCGCCCGAAACCCTCCACCACATGATGTCGGCATGGCCTTTCTCCCAGTGGGGAATGGACATCCTCGGGCCATTCCGCCCTACGAAAAGCCAGATCAAGTTCCCCCTTGTCGCAACCCAAAAATTTCCGATCTCACGACTAATGGTTTAGACATCCTTTTAAAAGTCTCATCAATTAAGGAATGCCCGGACACCAGACTAATCCTTAATCAATGGTTTTGAAAATAGGTTCTATGGAGTCGCCACCAATGTTTTACTCAAAACATTGGAAAAAGAAAAGATTTTTAAAGAGGTCCAATAATGGCCTTGATAACCAGAATTGGGTTCGGGGGTCGGTTACGTGGAGGGAAGATATTAAGCGCCCTAAATCGGTACCCTATGATGAAGTTAATGTGATAAAAAATAATAAATTAAATATTAGATCCCCTTTTATTAATAATTATTTACGTTCTTGAAATTTAAATTAAACGGTGAGCCCTAAGGTATCTACATAATTGCGTTTATTATAGTAATATGTAAAATAAAAGAAGAGAAAGATAGAACAAGAGATTGATGAATAATACCTCGTGACAAGCTTTATTGGATCTTCAACTATGGAGGTTTTAGGTGCTTTGTGGCAACCTTTCACACTACAATATACCTCACAAAACTCAAGAAATACAATAGGAGAGAGAGACAGAAAAAGAGAGAAATTTCGAGCTCTAGAGAGTGGTGGACGAAATTTTTGAGGTCCCTGAACTATTGGCCGAGATTTTCTATTTATAGGCATCAGATGTGGGCCGGAACGGCCCGTTACGGATCCGAACGTTATGCTGTATATTTGTACCCTAGAACGGCCCGTTCTGAAATCAGAACGGCCCGTTCCAGAGAACTAGAACGACCCATTTTGAAGTGGGAATGGCCCGTTCCGAGGTAAAAATTTAGCCCCTTTGATTGGTTTGGAATGACCCTTTCTGGTCTAGAACGACCCGTTCCAACCTACATTTTTAGGTCTTTTAGAAGCCTCGGAACGGCCCGTTCTGATTCGAGAACGGCCCGTTCCAGACCACTAAAAAAGTTAATTTAGGCTTTTGGGCCCTCTGATGTCCTATCTTGTTATTTGTTTGCCCCCAGACGAAATTAGGTGTCTACACTCCTCGTGGCAATCGATTACTTCACCAAATGGATTGAAGCATGCCCACTCGCTAAAATCACCACTGAAAATGTGCAAAAGTTCACCTGGAGAAACATCATTTGCAGATTCGGAATCCCTCACACCCTCGTTACTGACAACGGCCGACAGGTCATCGCACAGGGATTCGAGGACTTCCTCCGAGAGCTCGGTATCAAGCATCTTCCAACCTCGGTGGAACACCCCCAAACCAATGGCAAAGCCGAAGCAGCCAACAAAGTCATCCTCCGGGAATTCAACAAACGGCTGGGAAATGCCAAAGGACAGTGGCCCGATGAACTTCCCAGCATCCTCTGGGCGTATCATTGCACCCCCCAGTCAACCACGCAAGAAACACCCTACAGGCTGACTTATGGAGCTGACGCAATGATCCCAGTAGAAGTCGGAGAGACGTCCCACCGACGTCAGGTTTTCGATAGCGAGCAGAACGCTCAAGAGTTGGCAGCTGACCTCGACTTGGTGGACGAGCTTAGAGACAAAGCTCAAATCCACGAAGAAGCATGCAAGCTCCGAGCTTCCCGAAGATACAACACCCGGGTACGACCTCATTCTTTCCGAGTTGGTGACTTGGTGTGGCGATTGCTAGGCGAAGCCCGAAAGGACACGTCAGATGGGAAGCTTGCACCCACTTGGGGTGGCCCATTCCGAGTTACAGAAGACTTGGAAAATGGAGCGTACCGATTAGAAGAACTCAGCGGAAAACCTATTCCGCGAACTTGGAATGCTACGCATCTCAAGTTCTACTTCAGCTGACTTTTGTACGAATGAGTTGTGCACTCTTTTCCCGCCTCAGTCTTTTGTCCCAAAAAACTAAAAAATGGGTTTTGGCTGAGAGGGTTTTTAACGAGGCACATTTATATAATCAATAAAATGACTCATTCTATTCAACTCACATCTTTTTCGCATTATTTTACGTTTTACAATAAATAGAGGTCGAGTTCGAACTAATTTATTTCGCCCCCACTTAAAGTCGAGTTCGAACCTTCAGAACGTGCTACTAAACAAAAATTTAAGGTCGAGTTCGAACCTTCACAAAAATTACTTAAACCTGAGGTCGAGTTCGAACCTTGGTTTGATTAAGGTCGTGTCCGAACCTTCACAAAAATTACTTAAACCTGAGGTCAAGTTCGAACCTCAGTTTGATTAAGGTCGAGTCCGAACCTTCACAAAAATTACTTAAACCTGAGGTCGAGTTCGAACCCCGGTTTGATTAAGGTCGAGTCCGAACCTTCACAGAAATTACTTAAATCCGAGGTTGAGTTCGAACCCCAGTTTGATTGAGGTCGAGTTCGAACATTCACAATATTACTTAGCGAAAATCTGAGGTCGAATTCGAAATCCAGTACGGTCGAAGTCGAGGTCGAACCTTCACCAGAAACTACTAAAAACTGAGTTCGAATTCGAACCTCGGCGTGATCAACCCAAGGAAAAATATCACCAAGTATAAGAGCACACAACAGACATCGAACGTATGTCTCAAAATGCGCAAATAGCACAAGCAGAGCCAAGACATAAAGGCAAAGAAAAATATACATATAAAAGCAAAGTTCCCAGAGTTCAACACTTGAATTCAAAACAGAAAAGGAAAAATTAAACTAGGCTATTACAAAATTGGCCTACGCAGAGGCATTGTCACTGGAGCTGTCCTCGACATCATCCTCCTTTACCAGCCTCCCAAAGCGGATAACCTTCTCCACGTGCATCGTGGAGAAGTCAAACCCTGGCGCGAGGAGCCTAGCCTGGCGGGCGGCCTTGAGGAAAACCCTCTTATGCTCAAAGACAACAGCCTTCTCGGTATCCTTGAGCTTCCTCTCCAACCCCGCCTTGGCTTCCTCCAGCTTCGCCAGCTCCACTTTCAAAGAGGCGACCTCCTCCTCTTTACCACCGAGAAAAACCTCGTCACAGAGACGCTTCTTAGCCGCCGCCACCAGCTCTCCCTTCAGAGAAGTCACGACATCCTCCAAAGCCCGCACTCGGCCACGGGAAGATGTCACCTCATCCTCCAAAGAGCGTACACGACCTCGGGAGGAGGCGGCGAGCTCCTGCAACTCACCCACCTGGGAGGCATAAGCCTTGTTGGATCGTAGGCCGATCTCGAGAGACTTCTGCACCCTCGCAAGGTCGCCCCTAGCAGCTCGAAGCTCAGCCCCCTGCAATTTCGCCTCGCCAACAGCGACCCCTAGAACCTTATTCTCCTCCTTCAGGGCCTTATTCTCCTCTCTCAAAGGTTGAACTCGGCCCCTCAACCTCGCCAGGTCCTCCTGCTGCGTGGACCATTTATGCTTCCAATAGTCCATGATGGCCACCCCCCTCTACAGGAGAACCTGGGCAGCATCTAGGCCTTCCACAGGCCCGACCGACTCGATCATAGCTTGATCAGTCGTGCTCAGCGACCCTTCAGGAAAAAATTTAGCTGCAGACACCCCAGCGCTCCACCAAGAATCAATGTCCTTCGAGGCACTCAAATGATCCAACCTCACCACTACGTCCCCCTTGTGGTAGCGCTGAGCGAGGTACTGGGTTCTGGGAGGCCCCTTCGACGGGCCAGTTGATGGCGCCGACGCCACTGGGGTGGGCGTCGGAACTTCAGAGCTTGGCCCCTTCCTGCGAGCTTCAGCAGAAGCAGGGGCAGACGCCCCTTGCTCGACAATAGGAGGATCCACGCCGGGCACCTCCGACCTCGGGGGCACCGAGGTCCCAGCAACGCCCCCTGCATGCAAAAAACGGCCCCATGTCAAAAGACACAAGAACAACACGTAAGGTAAAAGGAAAATCAAAAACAGAAACACTCACCACAGCCGCCCGGATGACGTGCTCAACAATCTGGGCTCCTACCTCGGCAGCTATCCCAGCCTGCAAAAAGCCACATCGCCTCAATAAATTAAGCAAAATCAACACAGAAGAAATGTTAAAGAAAACAAGACACTTACCTGGGTGGAGGGAGCAGCCTGCTCAGCAGCCGGGGTCGCCACCTTGGCAGCCTGAGCAACAGGCTCAGCGACCCGAGGCCTCTCCTCAATGGCCACTGGAGGAGCCCCCTCGGGCGGGGGACTCCCGGTCAAGTCCACCGCCTCGGCATCAGCGGCCTTAGAGGGATCCTCCTCCGTTTCGCGAGGGGCAGAGGTTCCCCCGACCTCTTTCACGCCCCTCTTTCTTTTCCGGTTGACCTTCAGGGGGAGCCCTCCTCCTCTTGAGGCTCGGCGACCTCGAGCTCGATAACATTGTAGCGGTGCTTCATCTCACGCCACAAGTTCTTCCCCATGATGCCTGCAAACAGAAAACAAAACACATCAGTAAAGGAAAATTACACAAACCCTAACAAACTACCAAAACACAAGATACTCACTCTCCAGGCCCCTCTCCTTGTGCGCCGAGTTCTCGAGCGACAGGATGAGCTTGCAATCCAACGGCCGAGGGAGCGCCTTAAGATCTTCAATGGCGGCCAACTCCGCAGCCGTCAATTGCAATTGGCCCTCCCCGTGAAACCTAGACGGTTTGGGGCACCAATAGAAGGGGAACTTCGGCAACCCGCCAAAGTAGAAATCCCCATCCTCCATCGGGTTGACATCCACAAGGGCAACCCGAAAAAAATCTTGTTTAAAATTTTTGTATGACTGGGAGTAGAGAGTGAACAAACCCCTATCCCTACCCCCATTCAGAGACAATATGCTGTAAGAAGGAACGCCTAGCTTCAGCTGATAAAAATGAAGAAAGACGGGAAGAGACACCTCTATCCCTAGAACTGTACAAAGGACTTGAAAAGCCCGCAAAAAACCCCAACTGTTGGGGTGAAACTGGCAAGGAGCCGAGTTGATGAAGTCCAAAAAATCACACTCAAAATGAGTGAAGGGAAGATGGACACCCAGGTCTCTGAAGAAACACTGGTACATATAGAAATGGGGAGGGTCAGTGGACCTCCCCATATACACACCCTCACCGGCCTGGCAGGGTTCAGGCCGGATCATTCGAGAAATGGAAGGGTCACAAATCCGGTGTGTCTTCCAAATCGCGTTGACCTCAAGGAACGACCGAAACACACTTTGGACCCCGGCCACATCGCGTTTGACCCAATCGTAACTAGGAACCCCTAGCTCTAGATCCTTAGGCGGATCACTCTTCTCGGCAGCGACCTTTCCAGCAACTGTCGCCTTGCCGCGCCCCCTGCCCCTACCCCTGGTAGGCGCAGAAGACCCGGCACCACTCTCTCTACCCATCAAGAAAGCGAAAAGACTCGAAGAAGGAGAAGATGGGAGAAAGGAGAGAGAATAGAGAAATCGAAGTACCTGGTACCCCTTTGACAAAAGAAAGAATGAATAGGAAAGGCGAAACCCAGTTGTCGGAAACAGCGACGGAGATTGAACGGAAGCGAAGGTGCAGGAAGTAGCTTGCGCAAGAAACTAAAGGCGAAAGAGAATGAAAAGTGTAAAGTGAAAGGGGAAGGGGCGCGAGTAAGAGAAAAGGGGGTTTTCCAAAATTCAAACGGCCACAACATGTGTCAGCCAGGGGACACGCCTGATCACGCATTAAATGAGGCCATCATTACATAACCGTCGCCCCCATTAACGCGCCAGCCTCGGTTACCGAAATGAGAAGCGACAGTCACGACACATGGCAACTAGACAGGCCAACGCACGCGAAAGGTCACTTCCCTCCAGCTCGGTCTTAACTCCTCGACCTACAGTCTTCGGAGCTCGGGGGGCTAGTGTACTATCCGTACTGCGAAACCAAGCTCTGAGCTCAGCATCACAGTGCAAGATGACCTCGGGCACGTGCTACGCGACTTCAGCTCGGCATTTAAGTATATCATAACTGATCTTGGGGAATCTCGCTCCAGACGAGACCCATTATCTAATCTTATCATATCTCATCTCAGGCCCAGGGCCCAAAGCAACCCTAATTCACACTAAGTTACTTTCATGACTTATACGAGACTCAAACTCATACAACCCCTAACTTTAGCATCAGAGTCTCTTTTGCAGGTACCACCCCCAGGTTGGAGCATCAACGTACCCGTGAAGGAGGCTCACCAATCTTACTCGGAGAATCATCCCTACGGCAGATTTCCGGTAAGAACACTAAATATTATCTATTGTTAAAA